AGAGAGAGAGAGAGAGAGAGAAAGAGGGGGGAGGTCGGTATAGAGATGTATAGACAGACAGACAGACAGACAGACAGACAGACAAACAGACGCAATCAAGCAAGAAGGAATAATATTTACAAACTGGGAATGCAAATATTAAAAAGAAAAACAAACTTTATGCCAGCAAAATAGAACAAAAACCTATCAAAATCAGCGGGGGTGGGAAAAAATCATCAAAAGCATTCAAAACTAAACTACTACAGACGACTCTAGAGCTACCACGGCGACTCTGTGTGCGGCTGCCAAGTGATTAATAACCTCGCAGCTTCCACGTGCGTCATCGGGGCTTAGGAAAGCACGCAGGTTAAACGCAACTAATTATTTTTATAATACCTTATTTGTGATAGTTGGTCCATAGCGGACGCCACGCCATAATTTATACATGATGTATCTCTATTGTATATCACAGTGTCGATGACCGTCTTTGCAGGTAGCTTCCGACTTTTATGGAAGTCAAGTGACTAAATTGTAATTCTTCCGGCTTTCGACCAAAACGGAGAGCATGGTAGCGTTTGTGTGGGTTTTTTGGGTAGTGGGGGTGCTTGGGGGTGTAAAGTTCAGTCTCCAAGCAGACTGTCACCCCCAGCCCCCAAGAAATAAAAATAAAACCAACCTTATTTCAATATGTTTGGCTCAATTCGGTGCCCATCTGCAAAGTCCTGAAAGAGACACCACGCCATGAAGTGAGATTCTTGTGAAATGAAAAACAAAAAACAAAAATCAAACATATCGTTTTACATCGTAAGTCGGTTATAGGTGTCTAAAACTGGCCCTTACCCTCCAAATAACAGACTGAAGGTTTTCCAACACACGCCAAAATTTGAAAACTGAGAGTACCCCAAAACAGAAGAAAGGACATATTAATTTACATTACCAAACATCAGTTCATGACAAACATGCCCAATTTGCTTCAACTAACCAAAGCAAGCAGGGTCACATCACTCACAACGAAGCGATCACTTCAAGTGATCAACAGGGGCGCACACCAGAAACGAAAATGTAGGCTAAAAGACAAAGAGGCCATACCCTAAGCAAAGTTTCCCGCAAATTTCCTGCAATTTATTCCCCTGGAAGGAAAGACGTTAACTTATTCTAGGAGCGCTTTTTTGTGTTTGTATTGTTCTTGTTCGTTGCGGATGTTCTGCAGTTGCATTGCTGCCACTGATTTTGCTGCCATAATAAAAACTAAATGGTGCCGTGGCTCGTGTCACAGAGCATCTGTGTTTGTTAGCAGCACGTTTGTATTAACGTTAACGTGAAGTGCCAACATGTGTCTGTGTGAACGCGTGTGCATGGTGTGTGCGCACGTGTGTATGTAAGTGTACGCGTGTGTTGAGGATTGTTGTGTGTATACGCACGTGTGTGCGTGTGTGTGGGGGAGGGGAAGAAAGAGAGTGGGGAGAGAGAGGGATAGAGAGAGGGGGGAGAGAGGAAGAAAGAGAGAGAGAGAAAGAGAGAGAGAGAGAGAGAGAGAGAGAGAGAGAGAGATAGAACGTGTAGAGTTGTGGGGAGATGACAGGGGAGATCTTTACAACATTAACTTTTCTAAAATGCATCAAAGTAGTGTCGCATCTCAGATCTCTTTAGTTTAGTTTTAGAAAGGGCTTTACGGCACTTGCAACTCAATAAGGTCATATTAAGTGCCAAATCATTTTCGCAGAATACACTCTCTCAAAGAGTTAAAAGTGGGCGGTTGGCGTAGTTTGCTCCTTCTTTCCAATCAAATATCTATCGTCCTGATCTCTCCTCCTCCTCCTCCTTCTTTTTTGTGCTTGTTACTCTCTTTTGTAGCACCTCTAATCTACGACACTTATGATACGATACCTTAGTGTGTTGCAAGTACCATCAAACTCTTAGGAAAACCAACAATCTAACCGTCGACACTTTTGTGACCTAGATCTAGTTATTTATTGCAAGTGCTGTAAAACTCTGACTAAACTAAAGCTAAAACACTAAAACCTTCTCTTTATTCATCCAAACCAGGTGGGTGGTTGGAGGGCGCCATTGGAAGTACTTTCATTCCCGTACTTGGAGGAATTGTACATAACAGCGTGCACTAAGAAAATTAATTCCATCTTTTTAGACAACAAACATCCCTTGTTCCCTC